CTGGATTTCCTAGGTTATTTTCAAACCAAGAATTTTGCTGATGCCAAGACTAGCAGGAGTTCCTGAACTGGCCAGCATTCCTTGAGTTTCCTTTGAGAGGTAAAAAAAAAAAAGGTAGCTTAAATCCATTATATAAGAAAGAAAGGTATGAGCAAGTTAAAGGGAAGCTACAAAGGAAGCGGGCCAAGTCCCAAAATAAAAGGCAGGAATAGAAAACTAAAAATAACACACAGGGTTCCCTTGCATTCTCCTGAAGCATTGTACCTTTTTTTTAAAAGCGTATTAATTATTGTTTGGAGATTTAAATAGAACATATTATTTGTTCTTTAAAAATAGTCAGGTCTTTTGTAGAATTCTGAGCATTTCCAATGACATTAATTGAATTTTAATCATTGCTATTACCTTTTTTGGATATCAAGCGTGTTAACATCAGTCTATTTTCTTCAGTCTCTATCTTAAATAGAACATGTAAAGTATTTAATCTTGCTGCAATGAATGAACACTTAACTTTTTTCTAATAGAGCTGGCTTTTATAACATTTAAGTTATTCACCATCTATTGGAAAGCTTAATATATGGCAGTATGATAGTATCCAATGGCATACATAGAAAGTGGTTGAAGATTCTTACTACTTTGCACATATGCCATTACTCACACTTTACACTGACGGGGATCATGGTTCAATAACACACCTGAATCAATAGCTAGTAAGTTATTCCTGGCTCCTACTCCAAACTCCAGGGTTCTTGTCCTTCTGCAGTACTTTAAGATGATCAAAAATATTTTTTTTCGGCCCAGTCATGGTAGTGCAGCTGATACTATTACTTGGCAGGCTGAAGCCACATAGCATGCCTAGGCTCAGTTGCTGGGCTGGGTGGCAGGTGTTGTAGTCCCAGCTACTGAGGAAGCCAAGGCAGGAGGTTGGCTTGATCCTATCTAATAAATAAATAAACAAAACCAAAAATTTTAGACTATTTACAGTTAGCCCAGAGCCATTGTTAGGATATTCATTGCTGTCTTTCTCAATCAGTTTTGCTTACTTTGGAAGAATTACGATTGGATTTATATTTAGATTCCACACCTCTTGTGACTTGCATAGGTACCACTTCTCCTGAAGTTTATCTTCCACTACTCAATCAGGTTTTTTTAATCAGTTTTTTTCAGACTGTTATAATTACTCTTCTCTCTTAAGAGAAGTAAATTATAAGAAAATGAAAACTTCATACTGAGAAGTGCCTATGCACAGGCCGTTTACAACATATGTTTAATAATCACTTCCAAGTTATTAATTCCTGTTTTCTCTAGACACAACAAAAACAGGAAATATTTCCCAACTTCACAGGTGTCAGGAAATACTTTAAAAACCCTGGGATAGCATTTCTGTGCATAGGTACAAAAGGTATATTGTAATTTATAATGTGTTCTTTGGTCAAGAGACCTTTATCCATACTTTCTAAGGATTCACAGACTTCTGTCTCAGTTGGACCCAAAAATTGCTGTCAAATTGATGTTTACAAATGAGCTGTGTATCCTTTTCAGCATTTAGCAGAAAACTACAATTCTCTACATCTACCTGGTTTGAAATCCTATTTCCATATGTAACTAAGTGTCAGAAGAAGAAGTGCAGGCATCAAAATGAAGTTCTGAAGTCACCACTTACGTAGTAAACTACTAATTTGTTTACATGTTACAATTAGAACTTTTAAAACAGAACTTGTTTTTTTCCATTATAAAACTAAGAATGAAGATTTCAGAATAGCTAAAAATATAAAGGTAAAATGTATCACTGGTAACATCTTGGTTTATATTCATTCATATTTTTTTTTTTTACAAAACTAAGGCTATTCATATGGCATGCCTTTTTCACTTAATATACACTATTCGTGCTCATAAGCAACTTCCTCTTAATCTTCTCACTGAAATCTCCATTCTCTTCTGAAAACATATCCACATCCATGGAAAACGCTAAAGGATCCAGGCAGATAGGCTTCCCTGGGATGTACTTCATAGTTGTATTACTACCAGTTGAATTAAAAATGTACCAAGAGGGCCAGCAGGTGGTGTGGGGGTTAAGGCAGCTGAATTCCACATGGCCAACTGCATGGTTCAAGTATAAGACACTGTGGCTTGCGAATCACACCAGGCGCATGCGCCCAAAATTCCAAGAGAAGAGGGAAAAGGATTGTGGCATGATCATCCCTCCCTGGGGGGAGAGGTGCTTTTTTGCTTTTCTCTCTCTCTTTCTTTCTCTCTCTCTCTCTCTCTCTGGTGACTGCACATACCCTATAGCAAAACGAAAAGGGAAAAAATACAAATCTGTTCATCTATTTTATGCAGGGACAGTCATGTAGAAACGTGGTTAGATAAAAAGTTTATGAGACAATGGAAATAAACTGAGAAAACCTAGCAAAGCCTGTCAGATTCTTGCTGGCCTCTCTGTTGTAGCATTTCTTCCTCCCAGGTATGGGCATAACCCCCTCTGGAATGAGAGTCTTAGGGTCTAATATTGGACAGGGTAGGAGAGAACTTCTTACCATCATCTCAAACTCTTAATGGCAGAAGAAAGGTAGAGCAATAATTTGGGTTTAATGACTGGCTTTGGGATAAAGAGAGTCTGCTTTCTATGATCCACCTTGAGGAAAAGGAATTCTAGTTTCTGTTGCTTGTCTTAGAGAAGAACGAGGAGTGAGAGATAGGAGGGCAAGAGAACATCATAGAGAAACTAAGCTTTCAATGCCTTCATGCTGGGGTATCATTATTTGAGCCCCAACACTACCATGGAAATGACTTTGCCATTGGTTTGTTATCCTTGTGTCTGAGGGAGAAGCACTTCCTGTCTTTGTTGCCCTGAACAACCCTATTTGTCAGATTCATTGACTCCAGTGTAAGCCCCATTTTTTTTTTCAGTTACTCATGTCCCAGTGGGCAGGATAGGTAACTATCAGAGAGAGAGGGGAGATGGCAGATTAAAAACAAGGAAAGGCTATTTCTTGAGTAGCTGTTCCTTTGTTAGAGCCATAAGGCTTGTTACCTGCTTCAACCATCCATCCACCTATCCATTCATCCATCCTTCCATTCATTTATCCATTCATTCATTCATTTATGCATCCCTCCTCCCAAGTCTTTTTCCAGTCATCCTTTTATAATCTTCCCATCTATTCCTCTTCCCTTCCATCTTTCTATCCACGTATCTAGTCCTCCATCCAACCAACCATCCATTCATCCATTCATTCCAGAAATATTTATTGTGTGTCAACTTGGTTTCTCTCCCGAAGCAAGTGAGACTGGACTTCATCAGAGACCATAAACATGTAACTTTATTTTTTCTTCTTCAAGGTCTTCCAGAATAATCAATGGGATGCAGAAAAAAAAATCTTAGAATTTTTATTTACATTTCTTATCTCATACACATAAAAATTCTAATCCAAGTATATTTCTCATGATAAACACAAGGTATTAGCACTATTGTGTGTGTGTGTGTGTGTGTGAAAAAAATGTAATAAAAAAATGTGCAATTGGGGGCATGCAAAAAGCTAAATATTTTGGAGACCACTGCTAAAAAGAATAAAGTCAGATAACTATAGAGCAATTTCGGATAGATGGGTGCTAGCTTTGGAAATGAAGACTATGAGTAGCTCCCAATACCACAAAGCTGGGCAGCTAGAAAACATGCCTACAAATCAGAGACTGGGTCCATCTCTGTTTGATGTCATTGTCCATGGTCACACAGGTGGCTACTGCAGAGCCAAGAACAAGACCCAGTCCTGCCCCATTCTAGTTCTTGCTCCATTTTTCAAACTATCCCAGAAGAGCATGTGGACTCTGGCCCAGGCTTTAAAGTGAGACAGCAAATCTTGAAAGCATATCCTCCCTGAAAGCATATCCCAAAACTACATTGTACATGGGTAAAAGTTTTTAGTGCTTTCTGGTTTTATTTAATAAGAATATTTATGGGGCTGAATGATGGAACAGTGGTTAAACACAACACGCTGCAAGGCTGACCCATGTGAGGAGGTTTCGGGTTCTAGTCCAGACTCCTCCCAGAGTATGCTGAGCATGTGTGTGCCCTTGATCTGAGGCTGGCTGAGGCTGCTAGTGGATTACAACATAGGAGATCTGTCAAGTGTTAACTTTTTTTCTCGGTTTCTCTTGCTTAATCTTTTAAAAAGATTAATTAAGGGGCCAGCATGTGGCATGGTGATTAAGGCATTGGACTCCCACACAGCTGACCACAGTTCGAGTCCCAAACCTGGCAGCTTGCTTTCCCCTCCTTCTCTCTGTTTCTTTCTGGTGAGTGCACATGCTCTGTAGCAAATGGGAAAATAATAATAAAATTAAGTAATTATTTTTAATTAATTAAGCAAGCTGAATGTTTTCCCTTATACAGATATAATTTTTAAAGTGTTTTATCAACTCATTTAACATGTTTTCACAATTTGCCCAGAAGGCTAAGTGAACAGCTGCTGTTCTTGGATACAATACTCTTAAGTTTCAAAGCTTAGGTTACTCTATTCTTTCTAGATGCTGAAAGGTTTGTTTTTGGCTAAATTTTCTAAAGTGTAACCACTTTCAAAAATATAGAGAAATACATGAAAGTAGAGTACTAGCATTAATTATGAGTAGAAACATACAGGAGATACCTAAACTGATGAAAGTGAAAATAGGTTGACATTTCAATCTTTAAATTTCAGTCAATCTGTTGGCAGTGACCCAGATTTAATTCTTTAGGGTTTCCTCACAGAACCAGTAACAGTACTCATTAGCACTCAATACTTATTTTTCTTTTATGTGTTTTTGGAGGAGGAGTTGTTTTGTTTAATGTTGCTAGATGGCATGTGCCCTGGCCAGAGAGACAGAAAGAGAAAAAGAAACTGGGGCAGTGTGATGGGGTGGTAGAGGGACAAGAAAACTCCCTGCGCTGAGCATAATTGCAATTTCTTCTCCTCCACTCTGCCTCCTTTCAGGACTCTGGGTAAGAGCACATACACACCCAGCGTGTTTCTCAGGCCACCAGGTCCAAGACTCAAATCATGTGGTTGGCCATGTGAGATCCAGATTCCTTAACCACCATACCACGGTTTGGTCTTCAATAGCTGTTTATTGGCAAGGTTTCTACCTTCAAAGAAGTCAAAATCCAGGAAGATAAAACAAAACAAAGAATATGCTCTAAGTTTTAATATCTCAATGCTGTGCGAAAGAGCCATCTACGCAGAGACCTAAAATTCGTCATGTCAAGCTTTAGCTGTACAGCTAACTTACGATACCAACAGAAGCATTTATTTTTCATTGTTGTTTGCCTCTGTAGAATGTGTTAATATATAAGGGCCTCGTTTTAGGATGCTCTAAAGAACTATTAGAACAAAAACATGAGACAAAGAAGGAAACACTTTGGCTTTCTGTTTTAACAGAAGAGGTTTATCTGTAGCAGAAAATTCAGCTGGAAGACCTCCTCTTCAATATGCATGAAAGAATTCTTACTGAATAAACTCTTAAAATAATTTTTAGCAATTTAACAAAATCATGAAGGGACACAGAGCAGCTATGCCTTGTTTATTTTTTGTTGTTTTTATTAAACAATAATAAACTTGTCCTTTTAAAATAAAACCTTACAGCTTATTCAGCTTGCATTCAAAAATTGCTTCCACACATTTTCACAACTCTGTTGGCAAACTACTAGAATAAAATATAGGTTAATGGTGAAATAATTCTTAAATAGGTTCTTCACTCCAAACAAAATACTTCTGCAAGCATTTCCTAGCAACATCTAGTACAACAGTTCTGTTTGTCTCAAGATCCTCCTGTGTTCTCTGAATCCCATTTATCAACCAAGTTTAAAAGAAAAACACTACATTGTAAAGTTGACATGTTTCCTGCTGAAAATTGACTCTTCTTTTCATACCTTCTAAAAAGTTCTTTTCTATTTTAAATTTAAAATTCATCTAAGTTACAGCATTTATTTTTAAATGAATTCCCTCTGTTGCTTATTTTTGACATTTTATAACTCTAGGTTGACTAAATTTTGTTAGGTTTTTCTTATGCTTATTACTGTTAATTACTACAATTATGAATAATAAATTTACCATAATTCAGATGTTTGAAAACATTATAGAGTCATACCTTTATGCTAACCATTTTAAACAAGCAATATTAGGTTCCGTTCATCAAAAGAATGATAATATGGTTATGTAGGATGACTTGTCCTAACCTATTTGTTTATAAAAATATATAAATATTTACTTTCTCTCTCACACACATATGCACACACACACACAGACACACACAAGCATACCAGTGGGTAAAACATTTCCTCACTCTATCGCTGAGGTGGCATTCTTTAAAACCATTTGTGAAAGTGTGTGTTCTCCCACTGCCCCAGAGCCATCCTCTGACACAGATAACCAGGGAACTACATAAGCGTCCCTTAGAGACTGATCTCAATTCAGACTGTTGCTCAGACTCCCACAAGTTTCAAACACCCTACTTCCTTCAGGAGTTTTCTAGTTGTTTTGTTTTGACCTTTCCCAAAGAGGAGTAGGCAGAGGCACAATTAAATTCTATTGATGCCACCATAAGGAAGAGCTGAATATTATATTTTCCAACCCTCATCCCAAGCCCATCTTCTCTTGCTCCCAACTCTTCCTCCATCCAGTATCTCAACATTAATGTATATCCAAGTCAAAGAACCTGTGGGCTCACAGTAATCTTCAGGTTTGACTAGCTTTCTCTTTTGCTGACCTGTCTTTATGTAAGATTATCTGCATTGCATTTTTAGTTCTTCAGTGTTACTACACACACACATTTAACAAATCTATATGCATTTGAATATTTATCAAACAGATATGTAAAAGTGTTCCATCATAGGCATTTTATGAATTGCAAGTAGTCTATTTTTTGTTCTTTGATCCACCCTGAATCACACTTGGTCTCCAAAAATTTTATGTCCATACACTATAATCTAGAGAGTTCTTAAAATGTTGGCTGTGTGTTGAACAATCACTAAAGTAGAGCCTTCTCTTGGAAAAGCCCATCCGAGGTCAGCGTGGATTTAACCATTTCATTACAGGAGACCGGGCAGCATTCTCTTTCACAATCTCTTCTCTCACAGAATTGCCATCTCCAGATGCCATATCATGCTCTGAAATGAGGAGGAACACGAATTATGTTCAAATGTCTATAACTCAAAGTTGGAGCAGAGTTTCGTTAGGCTTTACATAGTATTTACAATGAAATCTTTGATAGATCCGATCTTCTGTATTAACTTCATTCACTGTTCTATTTCAATGAATACTTCTCATGGAAGATAACATCTTGAATTATTTCTCTTCATGTACTTATGATCTCCTGACATTATCTTTCTTTTCATTTCTTTTCTTTTTCTTAATGAGAGAGTGAGCACAGGAGGTAAAAGGAGGAAAAGAGATTTTTGTATTTTTGATGGGATATCACTCTGCCCCAGCCTCTCAGTTAGCTAGGGCCACCATCACACACCATTACATCCAGTCTGTCCAGGTTGAGCTGGAACCCTCCTGCTTCTACCACCTTGCCTGGGCCGGATATTATCTTATACATGTATTTGTCTTTTTAAAATTATTATTATCTACTCAACCACTAGAATTCTAGCTCCATGAAGGGAGAGACTTCATTTTGCTCACTGCTATATCCCCAGCACTTAGACAACAGTGTCTGTGACATTCATTATAGGCACTTAAGAAATGCTTACAAAGGAGAAAATGCTGTAAGACTAGATCTCTAAGTAAGAGTTCTATATTAAGTGGTATGGAAGATAGGTTAAGTTTTGGTGTGACTCCAGAAAGTAGACCAAATTCAGATCAAGATAGATATTTTTTAAAGAATGATTTTATTTAACTTTATTTATTTATTTAAATTTTATCAGAGAGAGAATGAAAGAGAGAGAATGGGAAAGGGAGAAAATAAGTCACCAGGTCCAGGACTCAAACCATGGTCAGCCATGTGGGAGTCCAGTGCTCTTAACCACCATGCCACCTGTCAGCCCCTCAAGATGGTTTTGCTCTATATCCATAAAAGTCTATAATATTTAAACTTTTCTAAAATGAAAGGTTTTGTTTCTAAGTGTAACATGAGGTATGCTTGCTTCAACCGTTGTACATCCTGAAATAGAATGCTGTGAGATTAGTGTAGACCAACTGTGTATAAGTTCATGAAATAGTCCAGATCCTACTCTCTCCATAACTTCCCCTTTGCACTCCCCAAAAAAGTTACTTGAATTCCCAGTCTTGGGACACTCACTACCAAAAAAAAAAAAAAGAAGAAGAAGAAGAAGAATGACAAATGGAACAAATGAGGACAGGGTGCCTACTTGCCCAGAGTATTGCAGCCCACAGATGAAAAGTAAGAGAAGACAACCTGTGCAATCAGGGGATGGAAGGAAAGGGCCTCTAGGAGTCCCCATGCTGGTGACTCTTAGAGACTTCTAAACTGCTCTCAAAGGCTGAACCCATTAAGCCTTGCATGGAGGTGATGTGAAACCTGTGGCAGAACTGATTCCCCAAAGCCCCTTCTAGTGCATGAACTGCGGAAGCCTCTTGTAGACAATGCACAACTGAGTAGAGGGTCCCCTAGGCAGCCTTGCCACAAGATCTTCAAGATAATCTGATCTCCGTGTTCAACTTAAGGTCTACCAAGATTACACTACCAATCATCTTTTGCTGCACCTTTGGCTGATAAAAGGTAATACTCTGTGTCAGAAAGAGGAGAAAACTTTTTTTCTAAATTTCTGATAAGAATCTCAAGATCTAAATTGGATAAGGAAATATTTTGTGTAACCTCTAATATGATGTCCACCCAGCAGTATATCCAAGGCATCTATCTATGTAGTATTCAAGATAGCTGCATAATTTGCAAGCAAATAGGAGAATGTGACAAACCTGAGGGAAA